GTTGCTGCTATTGTGGAACCACAACCCCAGAATCATCTTCGACTCTTGTCCTTGTTGTGATTTGTCTTTGATGTGGTCCAGGGCCATGGGCCAGGGCCATGGGCCATGGGCCGCATGGACCATGGACTCATGGATTCAGGATTCATGTACGTTGGTGGTGTGTATGAGTCTGTGTGTGATTGCCCGTCATTGGACCCAAGGACAATCTACTTCCGCGTGTGGTGGCCTTAGGACTTGGGAGTTACGACATTGAACTTGGAACCCTCCTGTTTTGACTCACTCTGCAAACTCGCTAAGGCAACGGGGCCTGACTACACTGCCTTGAACATCATAAGTGGGGAGCAGGAAGGAGCGTGTAATGTGGACATCTACACCTTTGGCTTTGAATGCCAGGACATGATCAGAATTTAATTAGAATTTAGAATTGAATTGAACTAGTCAATTCCTCAATTCAACTGTCAGGGCATGGCATGTCACATGTCATTTGCAGGATTTGAGCACTCTGAATCACAGCGCCAATAAGAGGCCCTTGGTCATCACTGACACGGATCAGCGCAGGGCCCGGCTTGATTTTTTTTTCATCTGGAATCTGGACCAAACAGCTTTGCTGTGAGGGGCCAGTGAGGGGTTAATTAACGATGCTGGGCCAAGATGGTTCCGGCCCTAGCTTTGTCTCCCCTTGTCTCCCATGGCCTGTCTGGATGCTGGGCTTTGCTTTGTCTCCCCTTGTCTCCCTTTGTCTCCCTTAACGCGTCTGGATGCTGGGCTGAGATGCTTTTGCTTTGCCTCCCCTTGTCTCCCATGGCATGTCTGTATGCTGGGCTGAGATGACTGACTTTGCTTTGTCTCCCTTTGTCTCCCATAGCGTGTCTGGATGCTGGGCTGAGATGACTTTGCTGTGTCTCCCCTTGTCTCCCTTTCTCTCCCATGGTGTGTCTGGATGCTGGGCTGAGATGACTTTGCTTTGTCTCCCCTTCTCGCCCTTTGTCTCCCATGGCGTGTCTGGATGCTGGGCTGAGATGATTTTGCTTTGTCTCTGTCACCCCTGACTTTGCTTTGTCTCCCTTTTCCTCCCATGGCGTGTCTGGATGCTGGGCTGAGATGTCCATTTGTCTCCATTGTCTCCCAAATTGGGGTCGACGGTCGATGTATTCTTTTTTTTGCAAACGATTCAAATGATTGTGAAACTTTAGGCTGTTTGCTGCGGGTTCTGTGAGATAAGGTCTGTCGACAATTGTGATCTGGGGAGAAGTTCGCGAACGCTGAACGCATCTCTGAAGTATGTAGAACAGAAGCAACCAGCCACTAGGTTCATGGTCCATGAGACCATGGTTCATTTATGTGACTCTGACTGTGGGTTGTGTTCTGCTCGTTGGGTACATTAGTAGCACTAGCACTAGCACATCATCAGCGCACAGCATGCAACAGCAGCGTAGCGTGTGTGTAGCAATATATGCAGCATGCAGCGTGCGCCTTCTATGGACCATTGCCTGGCCAAGGCCATCGTTCTACTGGAAAATGTGGCCCGTTTGAGTACGGCCGCACTTGTTGCCAAGCCACTCCGGGATTTGGGTTACGTTACCAGAGCGTACATACTCAACAGTGCCAGTTTCGGAAATTGCCAGAGCAGAACACGTCTCTTTGTGGTGGGCGTTTGCGCTGGCAAAGTTGAGATCAAGCGCGACCCCGACACATGGGAGAGTCAGCTGAAGGCCTGCACGGGCTGTGAAATCTTGACTTGACTGACTGTGTTGAGTTCTGACTCGACTGTTTGATTGGGGTGCAGTGTTGAGTATTGTCATTGTCATTGAGTCACTGTGTTGAGTTCTGTGTTGTTTTGTTTGACTGACTCAAAAGTTGTTGTTGTTAATTAGTTATTATTGTGGAGCTGCGGCTGCGCTGCAAAGGCCATTTCTGAGAATTTGCAGCATCGTATTGATTCTGCAGAGTCCTTCACCTCTGAGCTGCTTCCAGATGACCACTGGAAGGTCAAACAATTTCTGATTTCCTGCACCAAGCGGGGAATTGGAGACGAGACCAAAATCAGGCAGATTCGCATTCAGTGACCACAGTTCACATGCAGTGAGACAGAGTCACACAACATTCGTACTGCTGCTGACTGAATACTGTTATTGATACTTGGTGTAAGCAAAATTAGATGATATTGCAAGGGATCGCGGGAGCCAGCGCCAAATCCATGGCGCAGGCACAAACTTCGCACGGGAGAAGGCTGGACTTCTTGCTTCAAGCGCGTGCAACAAGTTCGAGACTGTGTGGCAGCACGACTTGGCAAACAGGCTAGGAGAGGGGGGGGGGAGGGGAGGGGGGACCAACCAACAGCTGATGTTGGGGCGGCGTGCATGTGTGAGTTTGGCTCACCTCGCCTCACTTTGGTTTTGGTTCGGTATGTTTTGTTACGTGTTCTTCTTGGATGCTCGGCCCGCTCGCTGCTTTTGCTTGTGTGTTGCTTGGATATTGACATTGACATTGACTCCACTTTGCAGGACTGGACTAACTATAGACTCTAGTCTTTTTTTGGAAGGTTCCTACAATTGACGACCTGTACGACAAATACAGCAATGAGTGGAGCCGTATGACTTTGTCACCTCGTGAGCAATCTAGCCTCTATGTTCACCTGTGGGTGTGTCCTGGATTCGAATGCTGAGGGCAGTAGGTCCATGGTCCATCGTCATTCTACAAGCTGCAAGGTTCAATTTCCAAACGGTGCACCCACACCTGCATTTAGGCTGGAGGAGATTGGGTCCTCAATTTCAGATTCCCACTTTGTGTGGGACCTCACCAACAACGTGGATTGGACGTTCTGGAAGGCTGAGGACTACAAGCACAAATTACCATGTCTTTTGAAAAAGCACACCTACTGGCATGTATCCAAACGCCGCCTGGGGCTTAGTCCGAGTCCAGTTAGTTTTATTGTTGGACAGGTGACAGTGACTTGAAGCACACAAACTATTGAGTCAGTAAGTCAGTCATTGAATTGGGGGTGATTGGCCTCCCAGGCAGGTTGCTTGGAGAAGAGCTGCTGATTCTAGGACACGGTTTTCCTTCTTTGGTGAATGTGGGGGTAGACCTGGAGAGACATCGACGCACCATCCCAGCCGCTTTGCCATGTACTAATAGTTGTTGTTTAGTCACCTGAATCGTCGGTTGTTTGTTTGGCCCGCCCAGGATGTAGACCTGAACCAAATTGCCGGCAACACAATGTCTGCGTCTATTTGCGCGGCAATCCTGGGAACTTGCCTAGCAGGCGGGAACTTACTGCTTTCCAATGGCACAAGCAACCTTGCCGCCCCAGTAACCCGCTCACTGCTCACTCCATGTGTTCTGATTTCTTTCAGTTGGGGTTCAGTTCAGGTGTGATATTGTCTCCGCTGGGTTCTCCTTCTGGAGCAGAAGCGCTGGAGAGATTCAATTTGGAATCTAACGTCGAGGCCAAACGCATTGGCCCTGGCACTGCAGGGGGTGCGACATCCGCATATGACACTCTGAGGGTTGAGGAGTCAAGGCCAAAGTGCCGCAAAACACCTGCAACATCATCAGCCAAAGCCAAAGCGGCAAAAGTGCCCAAGGCCAAGGCGCAATCCAGTAGGATGAAAAGGCCCGCTGCGCGCAATGGCCAAGACTGAATGCAAAGCAAGGGCCAAGTTTACAGGCCAAAGGCCACAGACACAGACAACCTTCGTTCTAGGGCCAGTTGACCGAAGGAAAAGGACACGATTCAGCCGTGTCTCAGCCGCGCCGTTTTTTTTGGACAGGAATGGAATGAGGGTTGACAACCGGACTCTGATGCTGACTGTTCTGCGAGCATGGAGGGATGACACCTTGTTGTCCATTGCCATAGGCCATAGCTCTTAGGTTGGAGGCCGTCGCTAGTAAGTTGGAGGCCACCGCTAGTAAGTTGGAGGCCTTCCCTATTAGGTTGGAGGTCATGGCTAGTAGGTGGGAGGCCATCGCTCTTAGGTCGGCCCACCGCCAATGCCCATGGCCCACACATTCACGTGTTACTTAGTGGCCAGTGGCATCCCGGCATCCCACTACTGGTGACATCAAGTCTTATGACAACTATTTTTGTGACCGTCCAGGATAGATTCCAAACGGCCCCAAACAGTTTCAAAACGATTCGTTGGGGTGTTCATCGTATCGTGTGGTGCCCTGTGTTCATGTCTCCTAGGACTGTTCCAGACCTCAGTCAATGGCCTCATGAGTTATGAGTTATGTGAGTGGGATATAGTGGGACGGAATGACTTGTTTTGCCAAGTTTCGAGAAATAGAAAAAACATATTTTTTCAATTTTAGAGAAATCAAGAAAAATGTTTTTTTTAAGTGTAGAATTTCACGAAAAGTCGGTTTTATCATTTTCTTGAAAACCTGAAAAAGCAACAAACCTGAAAATCGATCATTTCAACATGAGCCAAGACACAGGCCCAAACGTTTTTCCTAACTCAAAATGGTGTTTTGGAAAAAAGAAAAATGGGATCTGGGGAATCTGGGGATATGTTATTTTTTTGAATTTGGATAAATATGTATTCCTTGTCGCACCGAAGAGCACGTGGATTGAATGTCGTTCTAAGAGTTTTGGCACCAAAGAATGTTTTGCAAAAGGAAGATGATCTAGGATATGTTAAATATATGTGATATATAGGAACAGGATCTGGGATTCCAGAGTGTTACCCCCACCCCTTGGCACACAGAAGGGCACTGTTAGGTGGCCTTTTGTTTGTAAATCCGACGGTGAATTTTCCTTTGAGTGAGTTGTCCCACTATATAAGTGACTCAGATCGATTTGATCCACCATTGATTGAATAGCCAGAATCCCAAAGAACCAGGATTCAGGATTCTATTTTTAAGGACTTCACGGCAAAGCCATATGTTTTCTATTGGATGGTCTTTGAAAGAGCTTTCCATAGACCTCACCTTGTTTGGAACGGTACCGGGACTCCACCGCGAGCGACCCGCCGCTGTGCGACCCGTCCGAAACTGAGGTCACGAACGTTTGGAGACCTTGAGCCAGGACTTGGAGGCCGGTCTCGGGTCTGGCGAACACGGCGCAAAAAACATGTCCACTACAAATTGGGAGGTCTCCTCCGAAATGGGAACGGGCGCAGGTGTCGCCCCTTACGCGAATCTCGATGACTGTTTTCCATCTCGATCTTTTGGACGTGGCGCCACGCGAATCATTTGCCTGACCAAAAGAACTATAGCCTACGTAGTAGCCTATAGCCAAACACTAACCGCCCTGGACAAAGAATGGAGGGGCATTGTTTTGGGAAACTGTTTCATGTTTCATGATGTTCGATTTTGCTTTTAAGCTTCAAAGGATCTGAGGAAAACTCACTCCTGGCAACCGCTGCAGCAGCTCTGCAGCGATCGCACCTGCGAAGACATCTTCGCTGAGTCCGTCATCATTTTTGTAGCAGAGGACTGTGAAGCGCCGCCCACGCAACTGCGCATGGAAGAAATCCTGCCACTGAACTGGCAGGAGTTCATCCTCTCCTTAGCCGCCAATTAATTAGACTTGACAAAGATTGCTGTGGGAGATGGCTCTGTGCATACGCACTGGTTGTCCGCACCACAAGCGAAGGGATCGCCATCGCAGTGGCGCTCTTGGACCATCTCCCTTCATCTGTTTACAAAAGTCACCTGGTGTGGGAGGCTGCAAGAGATGACGTGTAAAGAGCCCTCGGCGCACATGGCCAATTCCAACTGGCGCTTGGACAATTTGGACGAGTGGTATCTTCTTCGGCAGACAACAGCACGTTTGAGATCGAACCACGTGTTCCTCCTCACACACACACATAATTAAATGCTTGTGCTGGATAACATCCAGCGAAGACACTGGGCATGGCGAACGCTACATGCTATGGGGGACCCGACGCCGCTGTGGCTGAGTGCTACGAATGCGATGGAGCAGGAAACATGAACAAAAACGTGAGTGTCTTAGTTGACTCACAGGCGACAGAAATATATCCCCCTACATGTTCAAAGCCACACAGATTGTTTAAGTCATCCTTGTTGTCTACTTTCTTTCTTCTTTGTTTCGTATCTTATTACTTCTATTTTGTTCGTTTCTTTCATCTCGGTTCTTTTGCTCTCTTTTTGTTGCGTTGTTCTTTTTAAAACGACGTTTTTTGTTCCCTTCGTGTCCTTTTTTTTCTGGGCTCGCGTTCATCTTGTTTTCATCACATCTTGTGTAAACAGACATCCATAGTGTGCCAGGAAAGAACCATCGATGACTTGACAAGGAGTCTGTGCACAGCTCGCAGCCACTTGTCGCCACTCGAGTGGCCGCAAGCGGCCGCAAGTGGCCGCCAAAGATCAATACGCCCAAGTGGCCGCGTCAGGAAAAAGCAACCAAGTGGCCGCATGCGGCCGCGTTCAATCAATTTCCACACCCAAAGCAACCCCCCTGGCTTTTCTGCTTTTGCTGCCTTTCCTCTGCGTTACTTTTGCTTTATTGATTGTTTTGCTTTTGCTGCTTTTTTTGCAGTGCTTTTGCTGCTTTTCTGCTTTTGCTGATTTTCCTCTGCATTGCTTTTGCTTTTACTGAATTTTGCTTTTGCTGCTTGTTTGCTTTTACTGATTTTTGTGCTTTTGGTGTTTACCTAGTTTTTTTGTGTTTTGTTTTTGTTTGCATCGGTTTGTTTTTTGTTGCTTTGGCTGCTTTGCTGCTCTTCTGCTCTTGTTGCTTCTGTTGATGTTTGTTGCTGTTTGCTCTACTGCAGTGATGCATTTGTTGCTGTTCAGTCTGCATTACTGCCCAACTTGCACACACCGTGTTTCATATCTTCTTTAGCTGCACAAACACATTGAACAGACAAGCTTCCATACGCTTTGCGCATAATATGTATGTCATGGTTGTTTTGCGGTGTTTGCGGGAAAACATTGAAGTACAGCACTGCTTACATGTGGTGCTTACAAGACGCAACAACACCAAAATTTAGGTGAGAGCAAGGAACCATTCCAAGGCAGCAGACCGTTTCCTAGCCACCCGAGGTCTAAATTTAGAGCAGAAACGGGTTACTCCAAGGTAGCACTAGACCTTTTGTGAGCCACCTGAGGGTAAAAATGGGTCCCAGGCCACTCCAAAGGTAGCACACCTTTTGTGAGGCACCCGACGAACGAGGACGGCGCCACTCCAACATAGCAGACCTTTGTGAGCCACGCGAAGGTCAAATTTAGAAGAGGAAGGTGCCATTCCAATGTAGCAACATGCCTGTGTGCGCAAGTGAGTCGCAGCGTGGGCAAAGGTGCATGCGCTAGTGAGTTAAGTTTTGCGCGCGCAAGTAATGTTTTGGACATGGCCTCTTCACCATCAAGTAGGTGCATGGGGGCGCACTGCCGACATCGCTTGCGCAAGTGAGGTGAGTTTTGCCTGCGCAAGTGAGTTGTGAGCCAACCCCAACAAACACCACGAAAAGACCTGACAAGCAGCCGCGCACAGAAGCATCCAAGCACACGCCCTTCCCCCAACCTCCCTCCAACGCCCCTCTAGCGCCACGAAAACCGCATGTTTTTTAGGTCGAACACGCCCCACTGCACCGGACACCATTGCGAAACCTGCACTGCTTCTTCCACTAATGTACTTTGCTTGCTACGACAGCTGCTTCTCTTGAGTGTCAGCCCCGCTGCCGAAGCTGTTTCTCTTTCAAGTTCAGCCACTCACTCCACCTTGTGTCCGCAGTTCCTTTCTCTAGGTTGCCGTAAATAGCAGCGGATTGTGAGCCCCAGGATTTTGCACAAAAAATCAGAGAAAAACAATTCCGAATTAGCAGGGCACCCGTTTCTGCACATGTGTACTGCCATTTGTCGCATAGCTTGCGGTTGGGTCATTTGAGGAACAGGACCCCCTAATGAGGTCATAATAAAACTCAAACTGTCCCTTGCAGGTGCTCTTGAAACAACCGGATGTTGGCCAGCCCTGAACCTAATCTGAACCTATCTAAACTTATAGAAGACAAAACTTAAGCGACTAGGACACGAACCAGTGAAAGTGCACATGAAACCACTGAAGCGGAAAATGCACCATGGCCTTTGGAGTCGAAACCAACGCAAAAAACAACCATAGTCATGTTGTTTTAAGAGAGTTTTCCCCCAACACGGCTGCCATCTCAGTGATCTCCCTTCTTCAGATCAGCCCAGGCGCGAGCGCATAAAGGCGAACGGATCTTGGTGCATTGCATGGGAGGCAGCATGCTGGGGGCGGCCGGAGAGATCAGCGATCAGCGACTCATCCCGGCGGGGAAAGTAGTAGAGTAGCTACTGAACAGGGCAGTTTTTCGGATTTGTCCTGTGGCGTGGATGGCTGGCTAGAGGCCTTTCTCGGAGTCCTATGCCACAAACAAAAGAGCAGAGTAATTCAGATAAACCCAGTGATAAGCCCATGTTTACTCTGGGTCAAAAGTATCAAGTTCATGAGTTCCAATCATACTCGTGGTGTGTCGACACATTGTCATTTGCTCATTCCTTGCAAAAAGGGTAGCCGGGCTTGAGCTACACCCACTTTCGATGGTTGATTGTTGATTTGGGAACTCACTCAGCTTCCTCTGAGGAGCAGCAAGTCCTTTATGATGTCCCTATTGGCCTTCATTGCCGTCAATCGATGGATGCTGTGTGGGGGATTGAAAAGCCAAGGTCGATGTGGCTTCTGTGTGTCCCTGGAGTCTCAAAGCACCTATTTTCATACAGGGTCTCGTTTTCTTAAGGTACTTGAAGTCGGGTCCAGTTAGTTCTCACAGATGGTTAGCACTCGGGACAGCCCTGTGGTGGTCCATGAGCACTGGGCTGAACAGCACCAACGTCCAGCAACTCTGACGAGACTCTTGGGCACAAAAAGGACATCGGTGTTTCAACGATGGCATGTCTTGGGACAGGCTATCTGGATATATGCCATTATGCTTTGGGGGTATCCCATTACCTGTCACAGTCGGTAAACATTGATCACGATTTTAGAGAAAGGCCTTTACTAACCGACCATCATCTTTCACTGTTAATTACTGGGAATGGGATATATAGCCTATGCCTATGCTAACTAAAATATGTCCCAGCTATAAAATATGTCAGCCATGCTTTCGGAGATGGTTTTGCCATTCTATCCCTCCAGAAGCGAGCTTGCGTAGAATGCAATGCCCACACGGTGATTGTGAAACTTCCCAACTCTTTGAACGACCAAAATGCTGTGTAAGGTAAGACATGTTCTGATGCATATGGGAGCCTTTCCGGCGAACCTTTTTGCATACAGTATGCGACGCTTGTTTTCGGAGTCTGAGCGTTAGTATGTTTTGGTGCGTTGCATCACTCAGTCAGCATGATCGAGCACCACCGGACTGTCGGGTGGTCACTGGGAGGAACATGTAAATGTATATAGAGTGAGAGGGTTTTGTCCTTCTAATTTATACAGCGGTTTGAGAGTAGATGGCACAATCCCCAAGTTCGGTGGCTTAGTAGTGGACCCCCCTTTGTCGAGTGCCATCGAACTCACTCACCTCTGAAATCACTGTGACAGGTGCTGCGTTTGAAGATTGTCTCGTTACTTTGGGGGGGCAGGTCGTGGCCGCAGCAACCTGGTGGCAGGCACGGCCGCGCGCGGCCGCACGGCCGCGCGGCCGTTAAGGCGTTGGATGTGGAGGGGTGGAGTGTTGTACTGGCCGTACTGGCCGGCCAAGTCTTAATACAAGCGAGCAGTACTGCCAGTAGAGTGGGAAGGGTTCTCAAATTATGATGAGTGTTATATATTAGTGTTATTCATCAAATAAGTCTTAAAGTGTGTTTCTTTAATCTGAAGGGTTTACTTTTGTTTTGGAGGATGATTTAAACCTCTATAAAGCTGATGTTCTTTCCAAGAACCAGGTTCTTGATGAATCGATAAAGGGCGTACATAGTGAGGGTTGTCAACACATCCAGGATGATCTAACAAACGACTTTTCTGGGCATTCAAAGAGAGCCAACCATGGTCCCAGAGTCAAACCCCTGGCAGCATCAAATGACCTCAGGCGCTTGAAGCTCTTACCTCTGAATTTCGGCAGCCAGAAGCTCAAAAACCTTCACCGGATTTCAGTGGCCATGTAAAAAGAATAAGAGACGCCGGCTTGTGCTTAGTAAGGAAAAAGGGAATGAGCCCCCAAGGGATTCTATTGGATCCATTCCCTCATTCCCTGCGAGACGCACCAGTCAGAACACGCCAACGGCCATCGCTCCATTCAGCGAATTCGGGCCTTCGGGCCAGGCTGCGTCTTGGCGCGGCTCTACGGCCTTCCGGCGGAGGAGGTGGCGTGGCGCTGCGAAGCGCGCGCGCCGTGCGGAGCAGACGGGAAGAGAGATGGAGGTGGAGGCTGTAGACGGATCCCGGATGCGAGGATTAAGAAGAAGAAGTGGAAAGAAGGTGGAAGACGGAGAAAAAGCATAGAGTATGGTGCAATGGGTCTTGAAATGATAAGTCTTCATGTTTGAGTGGTTGGAAGGCACATCTCAGGGCTAAATTGAAAGAAGACCCCTCAGAACGTCTTCAAGGAAAGTTGACCATGACCCTGGCATCTGCCGGAAGAGGCACCTGCAGATCCCCAGGTTCGACCAGGTTCGAGCATGGCAGCGATGTTAGTGCGACCACTGGGATGTTAGTGGAGGACAATCTAAAGTATGGACCAGTAAGGAGTAACACATCATTTCAACTGAAAGTGCCTCCTGCAATTGGCTATCGACCAACATTATATTCAGCAGTCCGTGTCACAACCTTCTCTTCCTCGATGTAAGATGCACGGGACCTGTGAAGATGTTCTACAAGTTTTCCATATGGTTCCGCTGTTCACGTAGCACATGAATGTCAAATTACCAAAGATCGGCTGAACCACAAGCTTTCTGCACCCCGCTCAACGAGCTTTCCAGCAGCAACATTTATTCTCATGACAACTGTGCATACTATTCTGAGCTTGTAGATCGATTCCCTGGACACCCTTTGCACATCATGTCTACCACTTAGTCAGCGGACAAGCTAAACATCGCAAGCCGGAATTCATCCCTGACTCTACCACTTGGGCATGATGTCAGCCATTCTTTGTGAGATCGTCAATCAACACTTATCTATTTGGCTGCTGGAACTGGTTTGGGCGGGGTCAATGTTTTTAGCATGTGTTTGTTTGTAAGTGTGAGTGTGTTGATACTGGTTTTGTAAGTGCCTACTTCAGTCCTTTTCTTTGTGCAGCCAAATGGTCTCGCCAGCTCCTCGGCACTTGTGCTTGTGGGCCAGGTCCTACAACGGCTTCAGTTTGGCTACGATGCCAGGCAAGTGACATGTTGTCGTGCGGCCCACGTGGTGTGGCGGCAGACAGAATTTGTAGCCCACATCCTTCCTCCTCTTCCTCCCTCCTCTTCCCTCATCCTCCTTCGCTCATAAGATTGTACGTGGAAATGCGGATTTTCTTCCTGTCAGCCACTCAGACATTTCTTCCCGTCAGCCACTCAGCCACTCAGGATCTTGAGTGGCTGAGTGGCCGGTCAGGATCTTGAGTGGCTGAGTCTGAGTGGCTGAGTGGCCGCCGTGAACCGCGACCCGGATTGCACATACTCTCACAGATTTTATTTGAGCCTTTGTTGTAATGTAGTTTTGTGGTATCATTTTGTAAGCTTTTTTTGGAGGTGCCATTTTGTAGAGCAAAAGCTTCTCTACAGCATGACTGTCTCAACCCCATTCATTTTGTAGACGCGATCTGATTTGTCCAGGGGTCTTTTTGTAGGGTATAGAGATTTTAGGCTCGTTCGACCCAAAAGGACGAGGTTCATTTTGCAAATTCATTTTGTAGAGAGTCGGGTCTCTTGTAGACAACATTTGGTAGAGTCTTTTGTCGACAGCAGATGTCTTTTTGTAGGATGTTTCTCTACAAAACCCACTTGATTTGGGAAAAGCAGTGTAGATCCTAGAACAGACGCGCGCCACTTTCTACAAAATGACGTCGATGCCCGCATTTTGTAGACGTTTTCGTACCCGGATTTAGGTATCGTGTGTAGACTCTTTTTTTCAGAGGTGCCATTTTGTAGAGCCAAACAATTGTTTGCCTACTGCGATGGTTGCTCAGACTCCTCGCCGGAGCTTGGATGCTTTGCTGGCTACAGCTGTTTCGAAGTCTGCTGACAGCCTGAGCCAGTGTGGGTGGCTGAACCTCCAGAATACATCATCGGACGCTTGCGTGGGACGTCAGAACCTGCCAGGTCTGGAAGGCCCAACCTTTGGCTGCCTGGGCAGCGAGAGATTTAAGGAGGGCCGGGCGAAAGAAACAAACTGAGCTATACACGGACCACTTGATGTCGCAGTATAGAGACAGACAAACATATTGGGCGATGAGGCCACCTCTAGATTGCGGGCGACCGGCCATATCACCTTGACTATAGATGGGATGGACCGGGCTAAGTTTACTTGGCCACGCTCCCCCGTCGTGAAAGCAAAGGATTTGTCGTTGATGCAACGACCGCGCCTTCACATCACAGGATTGGTGACGCACGGCTTTCTGATGGCCTTTTTTGTCTCTGATCATGACCACCCCAAGGACAGCAGTGTGAGCGCTGAACTGATCTGTGTGGCTCTTGCCAAGCTTTCAAGGCACATCCGGTTGCAAGACCATGAGATCCATGTGGTGAGCGATAACACATCGAGGGAAACAAAGAACAACACCATTGTTCGCCTCCTCGCAGCCCTGACCATGAATAAGATTGTGGGTGGCGCCACCTTGAGAAATCTTCGTTCTGGCCATTCACACGAAGATATTGACCAAATATTTGGTTCTCTAGGGGCAAACTTCTGGAAACCCCAAACCACTTCGTGGATTAATCCAATGGTTTTGTGACTCGCACCATCGCCCACATGAACCGGAGCGCTTTACCACGAAATTGGACCAGCGCAAGCGAGTCAAGGCCTTCCTGCGCTTTGTGAATGTTTGTCACCCCTCCGGACCCTGCCAGAAGCGGATGACAGTTGGCAATGGCTTCAACTAGCGGCAACTAGCGTCCAAGCTCCTTGGAAAAGGGCAGGCGTCGTGTTCGCAAACGGCCTTTGTTGGTTCATTCTCCTTGCCGCCATCACCGGCCGGATTGAAACTTTGAGTGCCATGGTCCTCTACTTGATCAAGGCAATGCGGATGAGATGGCCGGAGGTTTGGACCAGCTGGAAGTGATCTTCAGGCGGAAGTGTCATGCTTACGGCACTGCGTTGAGCGATGGATGCCATAGGCGTAGGTTGCGCGGGTGTCAGGTGGCATCCGCGCAAATGGCGCTGCTGCCGTTCCAGTTGCGAAGACGTTTCTTCAAAAGGTAAAATCCTTTCCAGACTGCCTCGGCAAGCTCCACAGCCTGCAGTAGCATATCATGCCTTGCGTATTGCAAGGTCGCGTGAATATTGCAGGACCAGCTGCTTCTACCATTTGCTGCTGCGAGAGAAAGCCAAGTTGTGTGCAATCACCACATGGAAATGTGGATTTTCTTCCTGTCAGCCACTCAGCCGCTCAGCCACTCAAGATCCTGAGTGGTTGAGCGGCTGACAGGAAGACATGTCTGAGTGGCTGAGTGGCTGACAGGAGAAAATTCTGAGTGGCTGAGTGGCTGACAGGAACAAAATCCTGAGTGGTTGAGTGACAGGAAGAAATGTCTGAGTGGCTGAGAGGAAGAGAAACCTGGGTGAGTGGCTGACAGTGTGGGCATACGTTGAACTGAGGGGAATATCATTTGTTCAGCACATATATCAAATTTGGACATCCAAAGGTTGCAGGTCCCTCATACATTTTGTATGCACTTTAGAAAACAGTAGAAACATGTAGAAACCTTAACCAATGTAAAGTACGTGCAGCGAGGGAACAGGTCCAAGGATTGTGGATGACGGGTGACCGTGGGAACAAATCCATCAAACGCAGGGGAATCCACCAATTGATGGAAATCCGGAAGACTTAAGAGGTAAGCTTGGCTGCGGGATTTTTTTTTGGGCACTTGGTAAACATGCTTAAGAGTCTCAGAGTAGTTAAAGGAACCTCCCGAACTTTGGACAACCACAACCGTTCTTCGCCCTTCGATCCGGACTCCCTTTCTACGGTGATCCGATCTGCTTCAAGCTCCGTTGGATCTGGACCTTGGAGGGGCGTTCTTCCGGCGGTCGAACCAAAAACGAAGGAACGGCGGGTTCGGCGAAGCCCGGTGCGTCCCGTGTGTGGACGGGCTCCACCGGCGACCCAGCGCGGCCAGGAACTACGACAACTGCCTGGTACCTGAGACCTCGCGGCAACGAGAGCTGCTGATGAGCTTCTGCCACCGCGCCGCTGATGGCTGAGCTAAAATATCGGAGTTCGATTGAGTCTCTTTATGGAGCAAGGAATTCGAGGGAAGTCGAGTCTGGACTTGGCCCTTCGACCACTCGACCCAGGGAAATGGGGTTCAGGTGTTTGTCCCTCTAATTGATGGCATTTGACGTTCATTTTTCGCATTAGAGGTCGAAGACCCTCTACCCAGCAAAACCTTTGTGAAGAGTGCAAGACGGCCCTTTTCCCCTATTGACTTGCACACTCGGGCCCCCTGCGTTAGATTTTCAGGGCGACTGTCCATATAACAATGCGAAGGTCCAATTCAAAACCGAAAACGTACATGTTCTTGGTTGAAAAAAAATAAGTTGTGACCGTCTCTCATATGTTTCATGAGTTGTTGATGGTCAGCATTTTAGGTCTTGGAGTACGGAGGTCTGGGATCTCCGAAACCTTGCACCACCTGAGAAGCATCGTGGAGCATTTAAAGAAAGTCATCCAAAACCTCAACACCCCTAAACCATTTGTGTATGGACCACCATGTAAAGGATGTCTTGGGGTCTGTTCCATCTACTCTGGTTCTGTAAAGGTCCCCAACACAACATATTTTTTTTGTTCGTTTGAATCTATAGGGGCAGGGGCGTCTCGGCATCGGAGCTTTCGACACTTCCGCATGACTTTGGTGCACCGCCCAAAAGCGTCATTAATACAATCATATCTCTCATAGATATGTGGCGGCCATGCATCCAGGCCAGATTGCACGTCGATTGGAGCATCGGCACCGCAGGTCAACGGGCTGCTACAGGTGAGCCTCGATAAGGCGGTGGGTGCGGACCAGGGTTCGGAATGCAGTGAGGCGAGGTGAAGGAAGGATTTTGCTATGAAAAGAAATCATAGCGGAAAGAAGATGGAAGAACAGATCAGCAAAGATACACCATCATTACACCCCAAAGTGATCGACATGAAACGGATGTAGACAAAGTCTCAAAGTCTCCAAAGACACCACGATACTATGCCTAAATTGCTTGTCTTGGGGTGTTGGTAACTGTTGGTCATGTCTTAGGCATAGAAGATTTGGTATAGAGGGAGGTCGTGGACTGGTCCAAGCTCTTCAGTTGAAGAGGTCCCGAAGTGGTGAGGTACTGGATGAAGGACTCTAGAGGGGTAGTGTTTCCACCAAAATCCTTGATGAAGGACCCCAGCCAAGGACGTCGACTTTCCCAAGTCTACGTTTTCAGAGGTCCTGGATGGGGGGTTCTAGAAGGGAAGTGTCCTTGCTGAAGGAGTCTAGATCCTTGATGAAGGACCCTACGAAGGAAGGCGACTTTCTCAAGTCTACCTTCCCAGAGGTCCTGGATGAAGGGTTCAAGAGGGTTACCCCACCCCGTGCCACCTCACACCGGTTTGGCAGATCGGAGTATGTCGCTGGGTCCGGTAGGCGTATGTTCGCACAACTGAGGGAGGAGTGATTGAAGCAGCTCGCCAGCCTGAAAGATCCTGAAAGAGGAAGCGCAGTTTTGCATCGTCAGATAGAAATAGTTGAAATAGTCACTTTGATGAATGAAGGACCCTATTCAGAATAGGTTTCAAGCGGACTGAACCTGAAAAACTGGGACTGGCGAATCGGATCAAGACATCCTGGACATTCCAATTCGACTTCGTGCTCTTCCATTCTTGTGCTCTTGCTCTTTCCACATACGGTCCGTGTCCAGATCTTCTTCCTCAAGAGAACCCTCTTTCTTCACTCCTCGGTGCTCGCCCCGTGACTCGACGGACGTCCCGACTCGGCTCACGGTCTGCGGTCTGCGGTCCGCCGCGAAAGGTGGAGCAATGCGCCAGTGGGGTTCGGAACGCCAAGTGCTGACGCGGTGGTTCGGGGTTCAGCGGATGAAAGAACTGTTGGAGAAGACTATATAACATCCCAGTTGTTGCTTGATGGTGTTGGTTATAGGTTTGTATTTAGTATAATGTGAACTTTAGTTACACATAGTCAGACCACATCGTATGATACGCCAACAGTGGTCCATGGCCGTGGACGTATCTGATAGCACCACAAAAGAAAACACAGTATGTAATTCGATGTGTCTAACAACCTTTGGCCAAAGAAGGGTAGGACGACCCAAGTCGAAACCGTTTTTCACCCAGTTGAGTGATGGACTAATGGACTAATCTGACTAATCTATATCATATCATTATAAGACCCAAGTGGGGATGGTCATGGGAGTAAGAGTAGCCCCCAAAAAAACATCCAAAAACATGGCTGAAAGCAGACTACGCGGGGTAGAGCAGACCCAACATCATACACTCCCAAAAATTAACATGGAGGCCAGTGGTTTCTAGGGTCCATGATAGTTTTGAGTAGATTTGGTCATGTCTCCGAACAAATCGTAAGGCGATCTACTGCCAGATCATCGACGCTTGCCAGCCGGGCTCTGTGGCCATGCGGAAGGCCAGCCGGTTCTGCTTCCAGCGCCACGAGCCGAGCGAAGCCGGAGTTCACGAGCGCTTGGAACGGAGGACACCAGGGGAAGATCTTCAGATCAAAGCCGTTTCGGGCGGAGCAGCTGACCAAAGAGTCTTTCGGGTCAGTGGAGTTGGTACAAAGGGCAGCGCAGAAACCCGCAGATGCGGCGGGTCGCATGTGGTGCCACCGCAGATCATGGATGCAAGCATCGGTCCTGGGTGTGAGTTGGGAAAGTCCTGACTCGTCCGACATCCCATTCTCGGGAGATTCTCGCCCCTTCTAGGCGTGGATTGGATGGAAAGGCCGTTTTGTTGGGGAGAATTCTTTGTCACATGTTTGCCTCACAGACTGTGACCTTCATTTGTAGGTGGATTGAGCATTAGGGCCGGTCTAAAGGGTCTTGAGTGGTCCAGAGGAGAGAACCGTTGGATCAGGGTTGACTGCTCAGTGTTCAGCGAAGTCGAAGACCGTTGGACGGCACAGCCGGTCATCCGACCTGAACAGTTCGTGACTCACTTCAAAGTTCCCTCATGTCAACCCAGGTCCCCCGAAAGTATAGAAGGCCCCCAACCGCAAAAAGTGACCGAAACATATAGAAAACCCCCGGAGATCTAAGTGTCACAAACTGAACGAACCAGGATCGCTGCATGGTTTTTGCATGTTTTTGCTGATGGATGACGCTGGAAGTCACCCCCTTTGCACACAGGTGTAGAAAATCGGTCTGAACGGTGTAGGTGAGAAAAGCTCGAGGCGGATGTCAGACTGACGTGACTGAAGTCTTAAACTTCAACACACGCAACATCCGGGCCAAGTTATCCTGGTCATTATCATATCTCATCCCACAGTTGAATAAGGTTGAGATAGGTTGAGGTAAAAGGCGTTTTGATGTGGGAGGCCAAGTTTTTGCCGGTGGTCGTGATAGAGTACCCAAGAGTTGCCCATTTTTCCTGCAACAACACTGCTGAGGTCACTTGATGTTGCTTCGAAAAGACTGCTTCAACAAGTTCATCCACTGGTTATCGTTGGTTCAGACGCGGACACTCACCCAGAACAGCCAGGCGATTCTCATGTGCACCACCACGCTGCGCACGCCGCGCACGGTCCCTGCGTAGCTCTCATGGTTGCAATTTGCACGAATGGATCACAAGACAGCAACGCTTTTCAGCAACACTATGAGTCTATGAGTGCTGGCTACTTCTTCTAAACCAACTTAGAGGTGTTCCTCGACTTCAACGCATTGGATTAAGGACCAAGTCCTTGACAGCAAAGCTGCAAAGCATCATCCGAAAGCATTGGAATCAAGCCGCAAAGCTTCATCCCCCAAACAAATGGAACGTGTTCTGTTTTAATGCATATGTTGTTCATGGCTTGGATGTGTTCAGCTTAGCGCCCCCCTCAACCCCACAATGGATGAAGCTCGTACATACTGCCACGGGGTGCATTTACACAAGCAGCGGAGTAATCACATCCGATACGTTGTGGGTTCACCCAGTCCGATCCAAAGCCTTACATGGACCACATATCCACGACAGCTTAGTTGAATGCATTGAACGCGATTGCAACTCTTCCAGATGTGGTCTCCCTGGCGCGCTTGGAATGGACTCACTGCGATGAAAGGCCACAAAGATCAGTTCATCCTTGGGCCCGACACCTTCGCAGGGGTCCGGACCCGAAGCAAAGCCTATATGTGTTGCTTCGGGCCCGGATTCTTAGGGTAATAGCCACCTCGAAGTTCAAACACCTGCAGGACAGGGGGCCTCAGCCTTGAGTCGGTGCGGGTGGGGGTCTTTTCGAGGGTGTGTGGTGTTTGAAGGCATGAGAGCACCCGCCCAGACGTGCAATGTCTTAATAAAGAGCGGACTTGAGTTTCAAGAGTTGGGCCCAAACCTGCAAAAACGATAGCCCCCACTCACAAGCGATAACCTTGCTGAATCATGTCCTTTGCTTGTGTTGGCAGATGCTCAATGAATCTTCCGGGAGCTCATTGCATGGGTGAAAGTTGGGAGCGCACCCCGACGCGTTGCGTCGGAGGATCTCCTTTTTTGGATCAGACTTGTTGGAATTGAATTGGGTGCTTTGACTTGACTAACCCTGGAAGGCAATCAGAGGAAGTTGAAAGGCATATTGTTCCCTATTGAAGCACTGGATAGTTGAAAACATACCTTGATTCCTGAAACATGTCATTGAATGTCATTGATTCATATTGATACCCGCTTATTCTATCTGTGGTTTCAACGACCAACAACAAAACCTGGTTGCTTTCTGAGATCATTGGAACCCTAAGTCAGGTTCTGCTCTTGGAACACGTGACGTTGGACGTCAGCTTTCCTTGTCGCGCGTGTGCTGACCCCATGCCAGGGCAGCCGCCCGCGCCACAGCGCGTCGGAGTGCTCTTGGAGCGCTGTCCAGCGTGGCCGAGCGCACCGCTTCGAAGGCGGGCGGTTGGAAAGCTGCGAAACATGAGTCAGTGGGAGTTCCTGGTTTCTTCGAGTGCTTTCAGCACTCGAAGTGGTGAATGTTGGGGCTTTCTTCCAGCCCAGTCGGGCCTCCGGGCATGTTAGTTTAATGGTCGGACCGCGACCGGCCCATGTTGGGTTCGTTCAGTAGAGGGGTGTAATACGATGTAATACGTGGACTACGCAGGAACACCGGAAGCGATATATGATATGTTGCTTGTGTTTTCCACAATGTTAATGAATTTGTTTCGCAGGCACCATGTAAACGACTGGTGAAGTGCAGCAGCTCATCTCAATGAGCATTTTTGTTTACCGACTTTGGAAGGTCCCGGCCTTCTCCCCTCAGCAAGATTGTATGGGGTCCCTGTGGCAACTTTTCCAGCAAAAACATGCCTTCGGAAGGCGACCCGCCACTGGCTGTGATTCACCCCAAGCTCGATCAAAAACCAGCCACTTGCTTTAATTGGCGAAGTCACTCCGAAAATATTGCCCGTGTTCCACCGCACTGCCCCTTTCCCACCGGTGTCCCACGGGCGAAACCTCCTGGAACAGGCCGTGGCCGAACAAGGCCGGAGCTTCTACTTCCCGAGGACACCACGTCTTGGGTCACTCACGTCGTTCGACGGGCGCCAAGCGTGGGGAAGCGTCGGACGGAGCGTTTTTTCGATGGGGAGAACCCCTGCATCACCAGCATGGCGAAAACCACACTCGCTTTGTCTCACTCACAAGCCACCTGTTGGATACTTGGATGAATCAACCCCTCCTTCAAGGTCAACAAGGTTTGAGGGCAGAGGTATTGGAGACCACATCTCCCTAATACAGGTGACAACCTGATGATGAACACTTGATTAATAGGGTGAGGTTTTTGCCAAGGAAGCTTGTTTTTTGAGTGAGGTCAATATATGGAAATAGAATGGGCTGACGCCCTGGTGCCACCAACCCCTACTTTTGGGATACGGAGTCTCGGGGTCGGTGGCGCCAGGTTTATGTCTAGAATGGTCGAGGACTTCTTGGGTATACATTATTCAAACGGCCCCCTAGGCTTCCAAAGCGTATTTTGAGAATGGCACACAGTACACACACCCTATTAGTACACACACACACACACCCTATTTGGAATAAGTATGACAAAGACACCCGCTGAAGAAGCAGGACACGCTGCGCAGGCGTTGTTCTTGTTTGACTGGCTCCAAATAGGGGCTGTAAACAAGCAGGAAAGTAGCCGCTGTAGCCACCTTACCAAAACCAGGCAGGGAAGTCACCACATCAAAAACTTGGCAGGAAAGTGGCCACCACACCAAAACCAGGCACGAAGCTAGCCACCACAGAAAAGCTCAGCCACCACACCAAAAACCAGGCGGGCAAGTAGCCACCACCAAAAGCTAAGCAGGAAAGTAGCCACCACACAAAAAGCTTGGCAGGAAAGTAGCTACCACACTGAAAACCCAGGCAGAAAAGTAGCCACCACATAAAGAAACAGGCAGAAAAGTAGCAACCACGCCAACCACCACCACACCCAAACAAAGTTATTCGTAACACGTTGGTAAAGAGCCTTTTGGTGCTTTGTATATGCATGGATTTTCATGTTTTTGCCACCAGTGAGGAGCCGAGTTTCAAGGGCATATGCGTTGCAGAACCCGTTCTTTGGGGGGAACACGCCGATCTCGTGATATGTAGAAAGTGGTTGTTGTTCAGCAGATCTTCACGGCTTTGAAGTTGGCTAAAAGCATTAATGATGATGATGATGATGATGATGACGACTTCAACCAACCTCCTACTGGGCACAATGACGACTTCGACGTGACGTGGCCTTCAAATGATGACGACTTCGACCAAAGGATGACAACAGCGAAACCAACAGAGTCGAGAAATGAGTCTTCGCGAACTTATCCGAGGCCAACGTCATCGGACACGAAAACAATACACAAAACATTGAGGCGCGTTACCAACGTGCCTCCCAAACAAGTTCAGCAGTAACGCAGAAAGTTGGGAGTTTGGGACACCAGGGGGCGAATGAACGGTGACTTACCATCTCTTTCTTGGTCGCCGCTGGTCGTCTTCTCAAGGGTCCGCAGGAGTCGCGTGGGTTCCGGGTGTTCTTGAAGTTCAGATGGTCTTCCACTCGGCCTATCCATCATTGGGAGACCTCCAATGGGTTACCGTGTCAATTTCCGCATTCTGACACGGCTGCCGATCGTTTAGACCCTTTTCCAGCACCCACCTCTTTCGCGACGGAGCAGCCGACGGCTCCAGGTCGAGCAGCAACCGGCGGCCATGTTCAAACAGTGTCAGCGTGTGGCACCACTGCAGGGCCTGAGGGATTGATCCTGAAGAGGCAGGACATGGCAGCGCCGCAATTGAGGAGAAGGGCGGCGAAGGCACCGGCCTCCACGTAGCGTGTGGAAGGAGGCCAGGATGCGGACTTCTCCCTCCCGTGCTAAGACAGCAGCTTCAGAAATGGAGCTTGAAGCGGGAGAAGGCAGAGTCTGAAGCAGGGTCGGCATCCGAACACCAGAGCCGCTCAGAAGACCGCTCTGCGGCGTTCGGTGGAGGCCGTCGGTGACGGTCAAGATGGACCTCCATTGGCCGATGTTGGATGAATGGTCAGACGGACCTGCAGGACGTGACCTTGTTCTATAAAGTGTTCGAGGCCGTGACCGTTGCCTTGGCCATGTCGCGGGTTCTGAACGCCCGGAGCGCTCGCGCTCCGATCTCGCTGCAGGGGAAGTAGGTTGAAGACCTCTTGGCTCAAAATTGGTAAGAATTGCACAACCTTCACACATCGCAGTTCTTCAAACCCACCCTGTTCCAGCGCTAGCCAGTCGTCGCCAGGAAACTTTGGCTGCCTTGGCGTGTGCGCTTAGTCCGCGAAAGACAGGCCGGATCACGTAAACAAAATTGGGCGGTGCAGTCAACCATATTCAACCCATTAAACTAACTTGAAAAATTATTACATTCAGTCAACATTAAGTAAAAGTGCATGTTTATTAGTTCGCTGTTTGTGCATGGTAAAGTTATATATTTGGTTAATTCAACAGTGTTATATCATGACAGTGCTACAATTACTTTTATTCTGCTTCATTTAAAAAAAACTGTACACAAGTTTGTTATTGATCTTCTATACTCTCCAGGACTCGAGCACATTTGTTTTGCAACACCGAATGTTTTGGGCAAGAGGAGATGTTTCGCCCCGCACATAACACAGCGCGTTCGGGTGGGCCGAGCCACCAAAGGTGGCCCAGCAATAATGGAGCCGGCGGTAAAAACAGATGCCCAAAAATAAACACCAGGTTGATTGAATCAGAAATCAATCAACCACCCGGTCATTCAATCATACCAAAAAAATGTTTCGAATGGTTTTCTTCCTCCATGGCGAGATTTGCCTTTACTGAGTCTACTGTAATCTCTGTTGATTTTGGGAGTTGACACCATCGAATGGATTCGAGAAGAAACAATCCTACACCATGAAACTATGTTCCTTTACATTGCAAGAATACTGCCGGCTCAACGGGGGGATCCGTGCATACTCTAAGTTGTTAGGTTGTCTCTGGAAATTGTTCAACTTTCAATGTCAGGGGTCTGCGGCGGTATGCCTGTGTTTTGGAACATGTTCATCTTGACTTGTCGTTGCGCAGCCATCCAGGAAGTTCCTTACTTGCAAAGAGTGTGAAAGGATTTGTATAGGATTTGTTTAGTACATTAAACATGTGTGTGTGTGTGTCACTAAAAGATCAACTTTGTGTGTGTACCCCTATTGTCATATATGTGACAATATCCTTTACGGCATTTTGACCAGTCTGCACTGCTGCACCGGGAGATGGGCGTGTCCAGCTTTTTCCTCCCACCAGAAACAACGGCTTTCCCGGTCATGCTGAGGGTGTGCTCTCCGAAGCAGCAACGGATGTGGGAAGGATATTGGAAGGGCCTCGCGTTTGGCATTGACACCTCTGGCCACACACGTCCATGGAAATTTCTCAGACAAAACACAACAAAACCTTAAAACATATCATTCCCACATACTCTATACATGCCTATACATATATACCCTGCAGCTTCACTTACCCTCAACAGCTCGGGGCAGAGCGCCAATCCCACGCTCCGTAAAACAAAGGCGGCTTTTATCAGCGTGGTGTGCGGGCTCAGGTCGCATGAGTCCCAGGGGAACGGATCTGAAGTGCATGAGATCAGCTGCTGTTTTTGTTTTGAAGCCGTCAGCCATGGGGGGTGCGAAACGAGAAATGTGACAGCCTGGGTGAAGCGACTGGTTTCATTTCGGGCCGACCTCGTCGCCACTACGGCCACCGCCACGCCGAAGGCCGCGCTGCGGCGGAAGCGGCACCTGTGGCCCCGGCGGAGGGACCCGGAGGAGGAGCGGCGTCCACCGACCGGGGGATCGGGATGTTTGGGCGGAAGACGGGCTGGGTATTTTTTTCCGCCCGCCAGGGTTTTTTTCTCACCCGTTTTCCGGCCGGGGGTGTGGCGAGGTTCACGGTTCCATTCCTCCGCCCGCCAGGGTTGTTTTCCCGCCCTTTTCATTCCGTCCAGGTTCCCGCCCGCGCGGGGTTCTTTTTAGACCATTTTCGGGCTGCGCAGGGTTTCTTTTCCGCCCGTCTGGGGCTTCTTTTCCGCCCGTTCCGTGCTTGTAAGTGGTTCTTTTTGCGCCCGCGCAGGGTTCCTTTTCCGCTCAAGAGGTTTCTTTTTTTCCGTCCCGGGCTGCGCCCGGCAGCCTTTTTTCCTACCTGCCCGCGGAGTTTTCCGCGTCACAGTGATCTTTCTTGCTTCGTTGCTGGACCATGTTTCATGTTGCACGCTGTCAGCATTCTTCCGTGACTCGTTTCGGGGGTTTTCTTTCCCGCCCGTGTGGGGCTTCTTTTCCAACCGTTTCCGGCTACGAAAGGTGCCGTTGGCACCCGCGCAGGGTTCTTTTCTTACCGTTTGCAGGCTGTGCTTCTCGGCGGCAGGAACAGTCAGTGAGACTGTCTCTCTGAAGTTGGCAGGAGCGCCAAACAAGACGTATCAAAACGGCGTAACGGCGCTGGAGGCGTGGACGCTGATGATGGGATGCAGCTGGAAGAGACCTGGCCGCGGTGATGCTTGGCAGCGGCAAGACTGAGCGCGTTTGTACGTGCGTGTGTGTGCAGCAGATGTTGTTGTCCCAGCGGTGTGTCGCCCTCGTTGCAGGTGCATACTTTGCGATTCCGCTGTGCCGACGACGGAAGCGAATGGCGCGCGATGCCGGGCAACGCTGGTGTGCCTTGGCTCACGGCGCGTGGAAACGATGCGCACGCACTACCATGAGCCCCCAAAACCATGAAAAAGGTAGGTCTTTTTCTTTGACCAACTTTTTACAGGTCATGAACCGGAAAACCTGTTTTTTTGGACCTGGCCCAAGCTTTAGAACATATAGTTATTGTTTTCAAGTCTTGTTTCAACACATGCGATTTCATTACTGCCAAGGATAGGAGGCACTTGTGCTTGTTTAAGTTTGCCCAAGGCAACCCTTCTTTGCCTACCTGAACTGCTCTTCTTTGCCTCGCCTGATTTCAATATTTGCCACAAAGGGTGCAGTGCGTTAGCTGGTGTATTTCTTTTAACGTTTGACATGAAAGCATGACTTGCTGCCGAACAGAATGCTTTCATTGTCACCAAAGCCAAAGAAAACTCCTAAGCGCATGAGCGTGGTCCATCCACATGGCCAACTTTGCGGTTTATTCCCAAACAGCCAGTGTGTGGTCAGTGTCAAGACCATGTTCAGAAAAATCAGACAATGTGCCTTTATCCTCATGCAATTCATTGCTTGCACCCAGATTCAACAACTATAGCATGACCAAGAGGAAAAAACAAATCCCATGTTTGCAACACAACTTGCACACATGCTGCTGGTCTCAAACAGTTGGGTTTCATTCGGTGTTTCTTTTCCGGGGCACCGGTGCATTTGCTTCTTATGTGGAAAAACTCAGCGGCGACAGCCAGTACAGAGAATATGGGGAGACATGACAAATGCAAAGCCCAATTCACATCACATGGTGGATACTGGCCTCACACCTACCACCGGTCGAAGCCAGTGTCAAAGTCACCAGGCTTTGATCAACAGAACCACCTCATCCTTGACGGAACTGTTTTGTGGCTCCTTGCACAGTTGTTGAGCTTGATTGTTAGTTTGTGCCATATTGTGTTGAAGCTGTTCAAGGGGCGAACTAATTGGGTTTGCGAGGTCGACTTGTCACTTTGACATAAAAAGTAAGTTGTGAAGGCAAACTGCTCATAGTTTATTAGATAGGTAGGCCATTTACCTTGATGCAATAAACAAAAAGTTAGCTCATGCCAACAGTAAGATCTTAAATCGCCACTTCACTGAATCGATACAAGGTACCATCATACCATCACATGCATTCCTTTCCTTAATGCACTCCCTTATACAACAAAGCAACAATTGGCCATAACGACGTAAGGCATTGTTTGCAGTATTTGGAGCACTGATATGGTCTATAGTGAGATTTACTTTAGACCATGGCTGGCTCTTGTTTTGCACATTTGAGGTGTCAATTCGGTGTCGATGCTTGAGTGAGATAGAACCAAGCAGCTCCAATGGACAAAAAGGATAAGGCAAGAGTGGCTGTACCTTTTTGGATTGTCAGGCACAAAGCGTCTAATTTGCTGGCGTTGAACTGCCCTTTAAATTTGCAGCGGTGTGCCACCGCAACACCCCCGTCCATCCAGTGGCCAAGGTTTTCTCGACTACGAGTTTTCCCTTGGCAACCCGTTACTTTTGTAAAATTCAATTAGTTTTTTTCAGCTCAGCTTGTTGGTTGTGTTGCATAGAACTGTAATGTTGCGTCACACAAAAAGAATAGCACAACAACACTGAACCATCCTCCTTTGCCAAACTTCAAGAGTGAACACTAGTGCGTGGGTGATTAGTAGCGCTAGTAGCAGTTTTTCTTCTGAATAAATAATAGAGGTCAAGCATTCTTTGGTCAGTCGCTCTTACAACAAAAGCTCCAAGGGCCCAAGACTTGTGGCGCTTCAAAAAGAAATAGCACCGGAAGGGTTCACCTGAGCAAGCAATTGTCTATTTTGTGTGTTTTGCCTTGGAGTCTTTAGGAGCATTGATTGCCATTGCCGGCATCAAAACATGTTGCACTGCTAAAAGAAAAACGTGAAAGACACAAATCGTACAAAAAGTCAAAAAATCCCACAATGGCCTATAGAAAACTACGGATAAAACTACGTAGAACTACATAAATTCTTACGGGTTTTTATGGGTTTTCTATGGGGTTTTTATGAGTTTCTTACGCCTACGGATTTTTATACGGGTTTTCTACGGCCAAAAAATGGTTTTCAGGCCCCACAGTCATTTGCTCCATGAAACCGATCAAACCTCAATCATCCGACTCCAATATGACTTTGGCTGGACAATTCTCAACCGTACCGTTTGGCACATCTGTCCAAAGCATGTGGCAAGCCGGGATGAGAGAGGAGTCTCAAAACTTGTGAAAAGATTTGCAAGCGATTCTTCACAGAACTGGATTTTGATTGTCGAGGGAGACCTTTCTCCAGGTTTAAAATCACATAGTATAGGCAGTATAGGACATGATATGGGAAATGTGCTTGGTAGACCCAAAGTACATGGACCAATTGACGACTAATTGCTTTATTGCTGCAGTACTTTCTTACCCCTTCAAATTCTCTTGATGAATCCTTTTTGCATCGCTATGTCTTCCACATCGATGCGAAAAGCAAGGGCTAACCATGATCTGAAAACAGATACTATTCGTCCTCACCAATCCATATTGAGATTAGCTCGTAATGTTGTGGTAATGTTTGGTTTCTTGATTTGTGATGTGGATGAAGGAATGGAAGTGATTGCACCTATTTCTGTGAGGTGGCAACTGAAGATCTTACTTTGAATAAGCTGATTGTTAATTGCTTCCAGATGAAGGCCTTATACATAAATTTGCTATAACAGTAGTTGGTTGCTTTGATGACGCAGTGTCAAGTGAATGCAAGAAGTGATATTTCGAATCATGAACCACAACAACAACAACCCACAAACTGCAAACAAACAACATTTGGGTAGGTGGTCACAGACGTCCATGAAGGATGAGGTGGTTGGCCTGAGAAAGCACCACAAGCTTCAACAAGTTTCAGTTGCCAAACCTAAATACCCTGAGCTTCAAGTATGCTTTGCAATGGTGCCAAGTCATGTTAACTTTCATTCTATGCATCGGCTGCCATCAAACGAGAAAGACCAAATCAACATGTCTACTCTTTACTACTATATATAAACCAAGTTTTGCGAAGCCAGTGCTCCCTTGGAAACGCTTTAGAACGCTATAGACCAAATATTCACAAATCTTTGACGCACACAAACAATTGCAAGCAACATGGCAACAATCACAACCCTTTAGACTGATGGTCCTAACCTGAAGCGCAACATAATGTCATAATGCAAATAGTTATGATATTGCCATGCCGAGTTGTGCTACTAAAGCGACCAATGACCAAATGGTGGGGAACCAGGTGTTTCAAGAGATGCAGGCAGCTATGACATTGGACTATGGGTGCACTGCTTGTGGACTCGAAGTTGTGCTCCTGCTCTCCCCGTACGACAATGGAACACGCGGCGGTTTTGTTTACTTTTTGTGACTTGAAGCAGTCCAACCTTTTGCAGAACAATGCTGCATGTACCACTTGATACTGGCACTCTGGATTGTAGCGTGGCAAACAACACCAGGCAAATGTATAAGTTTGTACTCACAAAAGTTACTAATTGAATCATTTGTACGCAACCAGCATATTGTCCAAAATGAATCAAAAAAGGTTTGGTAGAATATTGAAGTAGGTCAAGACAGCCACCAGCTGTAGATTGTCATTTCTGTGGCAGCAGTACATGGACAACAAAATAATATACAACAATCAACAGTATCATTGAGATTGTTGTGTCAATACTCTTCTTTAACATTGCGCACTTGGAGGCATTGCATGCACACAGCCATTCACCTTTGGCCTTGTTGCTCCAATAGAAGGACAGGCAAAGACATCGCTTTGATTGATTTGATAGATTTGTTGCAATGCTGCATGTATCCATGGAGAAAATTGTCTGGCTTGCTTTGGATTGCCTTGCAAATGGGAAGACTGCTCGCAAAGACATGCCAAGGTGGCCAAGGTGGCCACAAAGAAGTCGACTCAATTAAAAAACCTGGTTTTCTGAAACTACAGGTTGTTTTCAATATAACCCGGTTATTGCCAAGAAAAGCCTTTCGTTTTTATCTAAGGTGGTGCCCCTGGTAGAAGCCTTGCTTGCTCAGGTGAACGCTTTGTCGCCAACTTCGTGGCCCGAAGTCTCCACGTTTGCAGCGAGGAGTGCAGAGCAGGGCCGAGATGTACCTTGCCTGCAGTAAGAGCCGAACAAATAAGAGGGTTTGCATGGAAAGAGAAGCTGCGTGCTGAGGGGAAAACAACGGGTTTGCGCAGCGGCAGCGGCTGTGCAGAGTGTGTGACCACCATCAACGGACAGAGTGGTGGATCAGTGCTGGGCGGTGTACCTGGTCTGCTATTCTGTTATAGAAGGTTTGTGAGTGTGAGCACAGGCGGGAGGCTCATCGCAGCTATCACTCGACGAGGGCGCTCCACGGCATGCTGCGCAGTGGCAGTGGATCGTCCAGTGTGGTCGCGCACGGCAAGGCAGCGGCTGCTGCGCGTGTGGTAACTAAGAGATACGTGCTGGCTGAAAACCATGTTACGTAGTAGTCTGCTTGCAGACCCACGTGGTATCGGCGCTACCGGGGAGGAGTGCAGCCTCGCCGCTTGTCCATCACCTCGGACGCTGCCTCATGCTGGACGGAGGGACGTGGCGCAGGCTGAGTTGCTGACTTGTGTAGGATGTTATCTGGGCAAGCTAGTGCGCTGCAGGCAAAAGCAGCAGGGGTCACATGCAGGGTGAGAGCGATCCGACACGAGAGAAGGTGGTCACATGGAGTGGCCCACATCCAGTGGAGGCCCATGCGCGTGTTGGCGCAATGTCCGGGATCGCGTCCGGGCCAACGAAGAGGCAGCGGCAACGGATCCGCGATGCGGCCTACAGAGTCAATGTATGGAGACACGCGCGGGCATACACGAGTCTGACGAAATTCCGGAAGGCTGCGTATAATCGCTACTTTGATGCAGCCATTGAAGAACACAACAACTTGTTTTCGCAGCAAAGGGAGATCGAGCGAGAGAGACAAAGAGAGAGAAAGAGAGAGAGAGAGATCAAGAGAGAGATCGAGAGAGAGAGAGAGAGAAAGAGAGAGAGAGAGAGGGACAGCTGCGTTGCATGCTGTGCAAAGTGAATATGTCCACATCTAAGTCTAATCTTCGTGCGCAGGTGAAGTGCCAAGGCAAAAGCCGGAAGAGAGGACAGGCTTTTTTGCGGGACTTCGCGGGAGGGTCTGCGAGTTGTGACCTGTGCAGCTGGCCCACGTGTCGCTGCAGGCAAAGTGGGTTCGAGAATGTGTGCTTGATTGACGCACTGCGAAGCCACGGCTACAAGCTCACTTACGAATCCGATGGCCCTTTTTCGGCGCTGGCCGACGGCAACCGCTTCAAAAAAGAGCCCTACTGCGACGCTTGAGGCAGATCATCGGATATCCTCGGACCGAGCCGGAAAGCCGGACTGCATTCTTCCAAGAAGATGCTGTACTATGCGACGCGGGCGCCAGAAGCATTACAGAATAGAACAAACGAGACAAAAAAGAACCCTAAAACAGGTAAAAAAAGAACCCTGAAACGGGTCAAACAAAACCTTGAAACGGGTCAAAAAAGAGCCCTACTCCAAACAGTCAGAATAGAACCCAAAACGGGTGGGAAAAAAACCATGCCCGCGGAAGACGAACCGGGGGAGGTGGGTGTTCCCTCAAGAGTGGAAAATGGTTTGTTTTGGGCGTGTTTCTGGGTTGTCGACGGCGTGCGCAAGAGTCAAAAGAGTGTCTTTCTGGGTTTTTGCTAAGGCATCCATGTCGTAGAGTTGGCAGGGGGGAAGGGGGGAGGCTGTTCGTAAAGGATGGGCCGGGAACCGTTCCTTTTTCAGTTTGTTATAATTGGTCCGATCTGAAGATCAGACCAGTCATTGATCCATGGAGTGTGTGAACCTTAAAATCTTGAAGGTTTGTCCGGGTCCCTTCTTGGAAGGCCGGATTCAAACATCTAGGCCAAGATGTGAATGAAGGTGTCATGTATCTCTCGTGGCGCGAGTATTGAGCTGAGTACGAGGCACACTGCCAGGGTTGCTTCACGGTGCACTGCTGGGCAACATGTGGACCATGGACCATGGGCATTAACAGCAAGTAGTTGCGTAAGTCCCAGAATTGCAGTCCAACATGATGTGTCATGACATCATAATCACCTTTTTAATGATTATATATCATTCGAGGACCTTCACACCTGTTTGACTTCAGCGATGACCAAAGAATCGAACTAAAACAAACACGATAAAGGCAGGGTGAAACAGTCAAAAAACAACTGCCAAGGAACATTGATAAGAAACAAAACGCAAACACTCCAAGGTGACCGAAAGATATATGTTTCAGGGTCGATGTAGGCTACTCACCGCGTGATGTTGAATCCACACGCACCTATCCAGTTGCCTCTTGTGTTTTTGCAATCCAAGTGGAGGGTTATTAATCAAGAGAGTCTACATTACTCATTGTGTCCACACAAATGCTGTTTTTTTTGACAGCCTTGGCTTGTTTTGAAAAGAACATGCTTACAAAGATGGCGCAATGGAAGCTTCAAGGGAGAACAGTGTTCAAGCAAGCTAGGTGGATTGACACTTTTCATTGCCTACACAAGTCATTGGCAGTACACATCAAAACTGGAGCCCGTTTCACCCTGGTTCGTTGACCTCTCAGGTAGTCTATTCGGAATTTGTGTCATTCTCGGTGGTTAGCCAGGGCCCCCCCCGGTTATTGAACCACGAACCAATTGATTTGCATATGGAGGCTGAAGACCCACATCACTCAGAGTGCTCAAAGTAAAGATGTTCAGTGCGTCGAGTCAGGGATATAGATGGTTCTGGATTGCGCAAGTTGCTTTGGATACTTTGACACTCCACTACAACAGGATGACTGCAGTGTTCCAAAAATTTGAGGATCAAATATATATATATATGCCTGGACCCGACTTCAAGTAATGACCCTACCTGGACCCTCCAAGGGGTGTCCTGGCTGGACTACCCCACACTACCTATAGGCTTCCATTGGGCACCCCTTGGAGGGTCTTGGTAGAGACTATAGGTACGACTGTACCCCTTTTCCCAGGCACGAACGGGTCGACTCCAAGTGGACGCTTTGCGCTGCCAACCGGTACCAACACGCCCCCCTCCTCAGTGCGTCTTCGTCCCACGTACCAGTCGTGGCACGCGTGAGTCGTACCAGAACCAGGAACCCATTTTCGGCGATAAGGACCAGGACATGGTCTCCTTCACTGAGAAGGCCGCCAGTGGGAGGCTGAAACCAAACACAGGAAGAAAACCAACCACACGCACGAAGCAAGGGCACGGTGTTTGGGGGAGGAGCAACGCAGAGCCATACACGAAAGACAATTAGAGGACCAACACCAGAAGAACCAACACCAACACCAACAGGCACTGCAGTGAAGGGATGAGTGGACCGGGTGTGGACCGTCAAGACAACACATGTGAACACAGACTTCAGGATTGGACTGGGAAGTTCATATATCATATCCAAGGATGGTCTATTGGTATTTTGTAGGTATTGTTCGCACTGGGTGTTATGAGAACTTGACAAATGCAGCTGATCATGGAGCTCAATATCCAAGCTTCACCAAATCAGGAGGTGATGTTCACATGTTCCTTTTTTCCCAGGACGGGGGTAACTGATGGTAACTGTAGCAGCCAGGCACTTGGGATGACAATTCGTTGTCGAGAATGACCTCCCCATGCTGACAGAAGGCCATGGGAACCCCCACCACTTAATTATACAGGAGAGGCAGTCCAACAGCTGGTTTGGGCAGTCCAACTTCCAGTACTGCAAGCCTCAGCGCGGGTCCCATTCTCCCGCCGTGGTTCCCCCCCTTTAGCCAGCCTCGCCCCCCCTTCCCGCCGTCCCTCCGCGCGCGGGACGTCCGACAGCCAGGAGATCCGCATGAGCTTTCGGAAGCTGTTGCATTATGCGCCCTGTCCGCATGGACTGTCCGCCGTGCACCGGGGTCCGGTCGTCCAACGAGGTGACCCGGTTGGAGCGCCTAGGACTCAGGACCTCAAGAGGTGAGTCCTAACACTGCTCACCGGAAACCACCGGCAGTGTGACAAGCAGTGGTGTTCAGAATCCGAGGTGTGCAAACCGCAGGATCTGGGATTTCGAAGAAGAACTGCGGCTTTTGAAGAACAACTGGATATCGTTGCGATGGATATCTCTCGAGGTCTGGTCTGCGAGGTCGGCTCACTCCGCCACGGTGCCGTCCGACCAAGCGCGACGGTGCCCAGGCCAAGCTGATGAAGCGGAAACAGATCCAGGTGGCCGACGTTCGTTGCGCCGGAGCCGGAGACGTGAAACGGTTTCGCAGCGCACGCTGGGCGCTGGGCGCGATCTGCTAAGCTAGCTCTGCGCGGTGATGACACGATCAAGTCCCAAGGTACCAGGACATGGACGTTGGGTGGTGTGGCTCGTCCCTTACGGAGTGAGTGGATGGGTAGCTCTAACCTCGGATAGCACCCCTTTGGAACTGCTGCAGCCATCTATGTTGGTTCTCATTCGAAAACCGGATTTGGAATTTGGGCAACGACAGCCTTGTGGAAAGTATTTGCTGTAGTGTGGCATGGTTCGGTCCATGTTCATTTTGATCATTCTCAATCCATGTTCATCTTGACAGCGGCGCACCCTTTTAGCAACTCTGGAGATGGTATGGACTGGGCGTTGAACCTTCGTCTCTGGACGTTCTTGCATCCTATGGGAGCCAGATGAACTGATACAGAACCCCAAGGGACCCCAAATCCTTCTTTGCGAAGACTTTTTGTTACTCCATCCCTTTACAACGTGTGTCGCGTTTGAATCGGACACCCTTGAACTTGCTTTTTTTTCGTCCTTGCTTTGCAAAACTTGCCCGATCTCAGGGACCTTCCAACTTGGCTCTTTGCATGTGACGCGTTTCGTTTGATCGCCCGATCTGCAGCCGGTCTCATCCCAGCCGTCCCACCCTTCTGCCACTCCTTCGGTGGCGCTGCGCATTCGAAAACGGTCTCATTTGGCCGCCTCCAGTCCTGAAGGACGCCTATGAGTGGGTCGATTCGTTGTCGCGGATGAAGTCGGAGCCCATCCTGAAGCTTATTCAAAAGGCCGGAAAAAACCTCTTCCGAAAAGGCGTGTTGCTTAGAATATAATGTTATTACTGACTTGTGGTTTGCGATCCTTTGAATACGTTATGAAACGTTGTGCTCTTTAAGAGGGAAGGGGAGATGGAGCGGATGGAGGGGGGGTCGAGAACGAGGCGAAGCGTGGTGAAGTTGGGTGAGCCGAAGGCGTTTTGGTTCAAAGAGACTGGCTGGGAACTAGTCATTTGGATGATTCTTCTCACATCCTCTCCTTCAATTCCAGTCATTACTGCCCCTTCTAATCCCTTAAGTTTGGTGGGTGGCATTTCCGCCATAGGGCATCATTCGTCTCCGCCGGTGGTTTAGTTCCAGGATCTTCCAAGAGATCCCATTTCTTTTTTTAACACCCGTTGTTGATTGGAGATATATGTTGTTCATGCACAACGTTGGGGCGCCAGACAAGACGACAATGGTGACCCACTGGTTCCCAGTCCAGTCTATGGTGACCCAGCAGCGTGAGCTTAGGGGAACGACCTTTCACTGTCTGTCAGTCCAGAGTTCATGTCGGTCCATGATCCAGAGAAAGACTCGACCCGATCCGCTGATCCGGTTCTTTCGATTCCGCGGGTTCGCTGCTGTGAAAATCACGTGACCAGGCGATGGATGAGGTGAAAGAGAAGCCAGAAGCTCAGGTTGTCAAGCGGATTGGGGTTCCTATTGCTTTCTCCTGGAAGTGATATTAGTGGAGTGGAGTCTCTTGGATTTTCTTGTTTGGATTTGTTCGAAAGAGCTTGTTGGAAGGGTCCAAGGTGCTTCTTCAGTCTCTCTCCCCTGGAAGCTCCCCTGGTGAGGGCCCTGGTTGATTTCGATCCCAAGGGAGTGAGCCCATCCATGCGGAGTAAGACAGATGGGATGAGCCGCATTTTGCCTGTCTGTGTGCATCTGTGTGCATCTGTGTTAGATAGATGTCCAAGACGTCCGCCGGCGGAGGAAGGCACCGTGAACGGTGCTTCGCACCGATCCACATGGGACGTCTCGGGTGGCCAGTGGGGTGGGGCGAACGCTGCTGTTGGGTCGATCAAGACCATGCATGAGGCTGGAAGATATGGTTGCATTTATACCACCATTTGCAACATAGTTATACAATGTTATACAACAAGCGTTATATAGTCATTCATATATATATATATACATGTCATATACAGAATTCTACCCCAGCCAAACGGACCTGACCGCCATGTGACCCTCCTCCAGACGAGTCTGAAGCAGTCTGAGGCGCGGCTGGGACTTGGCGCGGACCTATCTGTGGGACCCGCAGCCTGGCTTCGGGCGCTCTTGGCTGCACTTCTCGGTTGGTTTCGGATGGGAAGGCATGAGTAGAAGGTGGGGTGTTGTTTGTTTTTGTGGGAGTGCCGGGAGGTGGGTGGATTGGTCATTTGGTCATTTGGTTTGGTCAACAAGTAAGTAGAGTTTCTGAATTGAGTTTTTGATGTCGATGTTCGGATCGCACGCCCGGTTTTCTCAACCGGAGGGCGGGAAGAGGTGGAGCACAAAGTGCTCCAGCGGGACAGTCGTGGGAAGACGACGTGCCACCAGTGCCTATCACGGATGACGGGTGGTGAACGATATCTGGTCAGCTCGACCGATGGTCGGAGGAGCATGTTGAGTTGGAATGACCCAGACACGACCCGTCTGGGACTGCCAGTCCGGACTGCCAGCCCAGCCAGACCCCTTTTCAATCAACCACCCCTGGCCGTTTCTCGGCAGTCCGGACTGGCAGTCGCATGGGTCGTGTCTTGGAGTGTCTGTGTGAGATGATTGGTGGTGCAAAATCTACAACGCCTCGCTACACATCGTCATTGATGAGGAAGATGCGGTCTGGTACCGGAATCAGAAGTCGAAATTCAACAAAGAGGAGAACAATTTGTTCTTTGACATGCTGCTTCTGAGATCCCATGTTGTCCTTCAAGACGCTTGGAGACTTCAGGATGCAGTGACCCTTCAACGATTGGATGAACCTTGCCATCATGGTCAGGTTAGCTCCAGGTGTTTCTGTCAAGGTCATTGCAGCTCAAGACGGCCGCGAGCAGAAGTATGGAACATGCGCAGGGCCCCGACGGGCAATCGTCGAGATGGAAAATCGGCAAAGCAAGAGGACACAAAGACTTTAAGAATCGTCGATTTGACTTTGAAGATCTGGGCCAGAAGAAAGAGTTGATTTAGAAAGGGCCCGTATGAACACGGTTCGCATTTGTATTTTTGATGTTGACACATACCGGGCAGTCAAGGCTCACGCAGTTGCTGAAGAACGCAGACTCTTGGGGCTTAACTTGTTCACAATGACAAGAGGCTTACGCATTCCTATATGAAAAAGTCCTTGCTATGTTTAGGTCGTGCTGTTCGACCAGATGCCTGTCAGTTCTATCCAGATGCCTCCCCGCTCGAGAGTGAACAAACACAGCATCCAAGACACACTCTCCAGACCATGGCCACCCCACCGAAAGCTTCAAGAGGAGATTCATACGGGACACACTCACAATGGATGCAACACTGCAAGCCTAGTGGAAGGAGTGGATTGACTCACATGTCGTCTTGGCAATTGGGGCGAGCGAAACATTCCGCAAGTATCAACGAACAACATCTTGAGAAGGTGTCCTGCTGTAGTTTGTGTTTGATCTCTTTGGTCGATTTTGTCCAGACACAGGAAAAACACACAAATACAAGATATCCGTCAGGAAATTCCACGGGAAATGACTTGGTCCGGAACTGTTCATTTCCGGACACCCATAGAACTTCAACACAGGATTTAGTATAATGTGTGCATGTGTATCTCCAAAATAAAACGCACATGGTGCCTCAGGTTTTTATAAACCTGACACCGGTATTTCCCCCAGGATTTTGTAAAAATCAGGTGTTCCATCCTCACCGGTAGTAGCAAGGGAGATCTACAGCCACCCCCAAACACTTACACTGGCGAGCAAGTCCAAGGGACGGGTTAAACTGGTGCGTTAGCGTAAAGGACGCATTTCACCTCCCAACTAAGACCTAATTTTAACAGGTGTTTCACAGCCTTTCACCCTGTTTTCATGGGTTTTTGTTCACGTCCTTTTCATGGGTTTTACACAGCCTGTTCAAGCTTCCAGCTCCCGTTTTGCTAAAGCACCGGTTAAGCTGGTGCGTTAAGAACTGGTTAAACTGGTGCGTTGACCTGCTGGGCTACCAACGCTGCCAACAGCCACCCCCAAACACTTACACTACCAACGCCGCCAACCAGTCGAAGACACCCACGATCCACATTCCCCGAGCCCCTATGTTGTTTGTTCTTTCCGGGTCCCACATCGACCCAAAAGTCATCGACTGAATCCAAGCCTCGCCGGAGGTTCTTCGTGAAGAGCCTGCGGAAGCACTCCCGCGGCCGCTACGGCATCATCCACAGCTGCAGGCGCCACGGTCGCGTCTCCGCTCGCCGTATAGGGAGGTGCGCCCTTCCGGGCACGGGGCCGCAGGGCGCGGTGCTGTTCAAAGCACCCGTTTCGCACGGCCAGAGTAGGCTTAGTAACGGTTGACTGGTTGACAAATCAACATTCTCCATAACGCTGATTCAATGATGTAAAACCATTTGAATCATTCTAATACCATTCTGGTCGTGGGCGTTTATGAACCAACAGTGCAATTAACACTATTATCTCAGTAACAACATCTATTTGGGTGCCCCGAAGAAGCTATAAGGCTACATGTAAGTATGCCACGTTGGCCGAAACAAGAAGCGTTGCTTGATTTGCAGGTGTCTTTTTGGGGGGGCGGCAAGTCCCAGTGTCTCCACCACCGCGACATCACCTCCTTCGTGTACATCGTGTCTCCACCGATGCAGGAATCGCTTCACCATTCGCTTGCGTCAGATGCCCTTAGAGGTGGAGTTCGAAAGGGCCGGGCACTGGGGATTGGATCGAAGGAGTTTTCCAACATCGGTTTCGGGCGAAGCTGGGCGAAGGGTAACTGGGAATTGGAGAGGAATATCCTGCCGCGTAGGGTATTTAAATAATATAGACTTCCATGTGTACCTTCCCTGGACCTGTTAAGTTGCTTGGGGACCGTCGTTCGTTGTTTCGGGGGAATTAGCGCAGAAGAAGTGTTTTTGACCCTTGCGGACCTCTGAAGAATTGGTTGTTCAGAACTAACAAAGGGTATAAAACACGTCTTGTTTTTTTGCGTTGTTAGTGGCAACATACGAGACCCAAAGGACTATTTCATAGGTTTGTTTGTCTCGTGAGTGGTGAGTGAACGGCCATGGTAAAAGCTTTGTAGACGTTGTAAACCTTTGTAAGTTTGTTTGTAATTCAACAACTCTGTCAACTCTTTGCAAAAGTTGCAAACTTTGTACAAATTCTTAAGACTTTGTGAAAGTTTTGTAAACTTTGTATAACTTTGTAAAAATACAAAACTTTGTAAACGTTCTAAAAACTGTGTAAAACGTTGCTCTAACTTTGAAGAATAATTTGAAGAACTCCAAAACTTCGTAAAAGGTTTGTAAACCTTTTTACAAAGTTTGCGAATTTTACAACGCCTTAATAAAGTTTTACCAAGTTCTTACACAGTTTTACAAGTTTAAAGGTTGACAAAGCTTACAAAGTTTGACAAAGTTTAAAAATGTTTTACAAAGTCTACAAAGTGTTGACAAAGTTTACCAAGTTTATACCAAGTTCACTACGTTTTTACAAAGCTTTCAAAGTTGGTACAAAGTTTACAAAGTTTTACACAGATTTTATGAAGTTTGCAAAGTTTTGAAAGTTTTACAACCGTTTACCAAGTTTACAAAGTTTTACAAAGTTTACAATATTTTAACACAGTTTACAAAGTTTTGAACAATTTCCAAAGTTTACCCAGTTTACAAAGGTTTTACCATTAAAAAATCAATTAAAGACGTATTGAAAGTTTTACAATGTTGCTGCAATGTTGACAAAGTTTTTACAAAGTTTACACAGTTTTGCAAAGTTTTGATAGTTTACAAAGCTTGTACAAAGTTTATAAAATCTTTACAAAGATTGCAATTTTTACAAATTCAGATGGAGTTTTTTCAAAGTGTACAAACATTTGCAAACTTTACATAGTTTACAAAGCTTTCACAAAAGTTGCAAAGTTTATACAGTTTACAGAGTTTTTGCACAGCATTGAAAGTTTACAACGATTTTAGAAAGCTTTGGAATTTGACAAAGTTCTTGCAAAGTTCGGAATTTCCACAGTTTTTCAATTTTTACAGAGTCTACAAAGTCTCACAAAGTGTTTACAAAGTTTTCAAAGTTTTTACAAAGTTTACAAAGTTGTACAACGTTTTTACAAAGTTTACACCAGCTTTTTCAAGTTTACAAAGTTTTTACAAAGTTTACAAAGTTTTTACAAAGTTTACAAAGTTTTTACAAAGTTTACAAAGTTTTTACACAGTTTACAAGGTTTTTACAAAGTTTACAAAGTTTTTACACAGTTTACAAGGTTTTTACAAAGTTTTTACAAAGTTTACAAAGTTCTTACAAAGTTTACACAGTTTTTACAAAGTTTTTACAAAGTTTGCAAGGTTTTTACGAAGTTTTTACAAAGTTTACAAAAGTTTTCAAGTTTGCAAAGTTTTTACGAAGTTTACAAAGTTTTTACAAAGTTTACAAAGTTTTTACAAAGTTTA